CCAATTGTCTTAGATCCTAAGAATCATGTAACCAAACTTTTGGTTGCTAACTATGATACAACTCTGTATCATCCCGGACCACAAAGAGTATTCGCCCAGCTTCGCCGGAAATACTGGGTTCTGAGAGGGCGACAGTTAATCAAGAAAATCCAGAGATCATGCTTTGAGTGTAGGAAGTGGAAAGGTGTGCCTTCAGTTCCCAGAATGGCTGATTTACCCGTTTCCAGACTTCGCTTGTATAAGCCTCCATTTTGGTCGACGGGTATGGATTGTTTCGGGCCTTTAACCATCAAAGTAGGTCGCCGACATGAGAAGAGGTGGGGCATTATATTTAAATGCCAGACGACCCGATGTCTTCATTTGGAACTACTTTCTAGTATGGATACTGACAGTTTCCTTATGGCCCTTCGAAGATTTGTAGCCCGTAGAGGTAGGCCCCATGAAATATTATCTGATCAAGGGACTAATTTCAAGGGAGGAGAAAGAGAACTCCGGGAGGCATTTTCGCAGCTTAGTCCCTCCTTTCAGGAGATACTTGCCCAACAGCAAATTAAATTCTCATTTAATCCGCCATATTCCCCCCATTTTGGAGGTACTTGGGAGAGAGAGGTACGGTCTGTTAAGACGGCATTACGAGCAGTCTTGGGAAAACAAGTAGTTTCAGAGGAAGTTCTGTATACAGTGCTCGTTGAAATTGAGGAGTTGCTAAACTCAAAACCTCTTGGCTATGTGTCTTCAAATCTTTCAGACCCTGATCCAATCACCCCAAATATCCTACTGATGGGGCGGCGAGATGCCTCTCTTCCACAAGTGATGTATGCAGATTCAGAACTACTTACTCGTAGAAAGTGGAGACACAGTCAAGTTCTTGCGGATCGATTCTGGGTCAGTTTTGTCCGAGATTATCTTCCAAGTCTTCAGACTCGTCAAAAGTGGGAACGTGATGGTAATCCTATTGCTCCTTCTGCCATTGTCATGATTGTGGACCCTCAGCTTCCGCGTGGACACTGGCCTATCGGGACTGTTAGTAAGATTTTGCCAAGTCCTGATGGAAGAGTGAGAGTTGCTGAGATCTTCAGCAAAGGGAAATCTTTAATTCGTCCTGTCAGCCGTCTAATTGTTCTTTCTGAATTGACTGATACGGATCATCCAATTGTATGAATTTCCTGTAGATACAAATATGTTAACATATTTGGGGGCGGCTGTAGAAAATCCTGCTGAGATCTGATTGGCTGATTGAGTCCTGATAAGATCACCTGTTGCCACTAACTAATCATGCTTCAGTCTCAGTTTGCTTGTATATAAGAAGCCGTCTCCCCCATTCATACATGGTCTGTGTGGAATTGTTGCGTTGTTGACAATGTAAGTTTCTTTCTGATTGTTTGTTTAAAGGATTGTGTTTGATATGATATATTGAATTCTAGTTATGTATAGTTTCTCTTTGGTGTTATATTCATTTGAATTGTTAAAGTTGATATCAGATGTATGGTTTAAGATCTGCAGATGTGTTTGTAATCTATTAATTGTTTCTATGTTTATGTTTAGAAACCAACAATTACCACCATAAGAAATGTCTACTCCTACATGTTGAGTACAATAAACTGAGAGCAATAACTGATGACTGAATGAGTTTTAATGGACCCACCGTTCCAGTAGCAACAGCTGAATCAGCCTAAATGTACCACTAGTTTTTACACGCTGTCTACACTGATAGAGATGTGTGTTCAGATTATAATGACTGACTGTCTACACTGATACAGATGTGTGTTCAGATTATAATGACTGACGCTGTCTACACTGATACAGATGTGTGTTCAGATTATAATGACTGACGCTGTCTACACTGATACAGATGTGTGTTCAGATTATAATGACTGACTGTCTACACTGATACAGATGTGTGTTCAGATTATAATGACTGACGCTGTCTACACTGATACAGATGTGTGTTCAGATTATAATGACTGACTGTCTACACTGATACAGATGTGTGTTCAGATTATAATGACTGACGCTGTCTACACTGATACAGATGTGTGTTCAGATTATAATGACTGACGCTGTCTACACTGATACAGATGTGTGTTCAGATTATAATGACTGACTGTCTACACTGATACAGATGTGTGTTCAGATTATAATGACTGACGCTGTCTACACTGATACAGATGTGTGTTCAGATTATAATGACTGATGCTGTCTACACTGATACAGATGTGTGTTCAGATTATAATGACTGACGCTGTCTACACTGATACAGATGTGTGTTCAGATTATAATGACTGACGCTGTCTACACTGATACAGATGTGTGTTCAGATTATAATGACTGACTGTCTACACTGATACAGATGTGTGTTCAGATTATAATGACTGACGCTGTCTACACTGATACAGATGTGTGTTCAGATTATAATGACTGACGCTGTCTACACTGATACAGATGTGTTTTCAGATTATAATGACTGACGCTGTCTACACTGATACAGATGTGTGTTCAGATTATAATGACTGACGCTGTCTACACTGATACAGATGTGTGTTCAGATTATAATGACTGATGCTGTCTACACTGATACAGATGTGTGTTCAGATTATAATGACTGATGCTGTCTACACTGATACAGATGTGTGTTCAGATTATAATGACTGACTGTCTACACTGATACAGATGTGTGTTCAGATTATAATGACTGATGCTGTCTACATTGATACAGATGTGTGTTCAGATTATAATGACTGACGCTGTCTACACTGATACAGATGTGTGTTCAGATTATAATGACTGATGCTGTCTACACTGATACAGATGTGTGTTCAGATTATAATGACTGACGCTGTCTACACTGATACAGATGTGTGTTCAGATTAAAAGTGACTGACGCTGTCTACACTGATTCAGATGTGTGTTCAGATTATAATGACTGACGCTGTCTACACTGATACAGATGTGTGTTCAGATTATAATGACTGACTGTCTACACTGATACAGATGTGTGTTCAGATTATAATGACTGACGCTGTCTACACTGATACAGATGTGTGTTCAGATTATAATGACTGACTGTCTACACTGATACAGATGTGTGTTCAGATTATAATGACTGACGCTGTCTACACTGATACAGATGTGTGTTCAGATTATAATGACTGACTGTCTACACTGATACAGATGTGTGTTCAGATTATAATGACTGACGCTGTCTACACTGATACAGATGTGTGTTCAGATTATAATGACTGACGCTGTCTACACTGATACAGATGTGTGTTCAGATTATAATGACTGACGCTGTCTACACTGATACAGATGTGTGTTCAGATTATAATGACTGACGCTGTCTACACTGATACAGATGTGTGTTCAGATTATAATGACTGACGCTGTCTACACTGATACAGATGTGTGTTCAGATTATAATGACTGATGCTGTCTACACTGATACAGATGTGTGTTCAGTTTCTGACGTTCTGACGCACCTGAGTCTGTCGACAACAGGGAAATTGGAATAAGAAAAGAATGTTTGCTTTGATCGTCCAGTTTAAAGGGTTAGTTCGCCCATTTAAGACATGAAGTTGTATGCAATCCTTACCAGCACTATAGTGCATACACACTGACCCACTCTGTTGTCACCTCCCTGGTCAGAGTTCTGGCCGCTGGAAGTTTTTCAATAAAGTACTCCCGGTTATTTTCCGGGGTCGCAAAACTGTGCGTTTTTACGTGAAAAAATGATTTGCGTTTCAAAGCTTGATTAATTTACCACACAAAAAACACGCCGGTCAAAATTCATACCTCAGTTTTAATCGGCACTATTTTCTATCCATTTCTATCAATCCGCGCTGCTGTCAACGTCAACAGTGCCCATGTTCCGATCAGCTGTTCCATAGTGTTTACACAATCGATTGACGACGACGTAAAAAGTATTAAATTAACAATGGTGTGAACTTGTAAATTCCCAGGCTGTGACCACAACGATGTGCCGGGATCAAAGTTCAGATTCCATCGTTTTCCTGTTTCGAATATAACTATGAGACAGCTTACCGAGCATAATCTCCATCTGCTGTTAGTCGACCTCACCAGCAGGGGGTGCAAGCGCGTGTTGTTGATTTGGCTGGTTGACATCGGCTACTCTGCGGGAGCTAAAATATCCAGAATAAAGGATTTTTTCGTGTGTGTAGTGCTCACTTCAGGGAAGACGATTACAACCAAGGAGGAAAAGGAAAATTAAAGAGTTTTGCTGTACCAGTACCACGGGTAAGCTCTATTTACTAACTTTATGATCCCATGTCTAAACTGTACGGTAAACAAGCTGATGTTTAGACTCCATTATAAAACACGTGAAAAGATGTCTAATATAAAAACAGCTATAGGGATATTGGTACAATTTGCTGAGAAAACTATTTGATTGAACACACACACAATTGAGGTTTGTGTTGCAATCAATAACATTGTTGTTGTGCTAAAATTACTTTCATCATCTGATCTGTCTGACATGTGCTAAAATTGGTTTCATTATCAGAATTCAGAATCATTATCTTTCAGCGGCCAGAACTCTGACCAGGGAGGTGACAACAGAGTGGGTCAGTGTGTATGCACTATAGTGCTGGTAAGGATTGCATAACTTCATGTCTTAAATGGGCGAACTAACCCTTTAAACAGCTGGTTTGAGACCCTCTACAGACTTCAGGAGATCCCAGCGTCTGAATACAGTGGATGGTTTATTTTAATGGCATCCTGGATCGCGGATTATATGTTTATTCCGAGCATTTGACTGAGGCACAGTGTAATGGAGAGTTCGCAAAGAAACTTTCAACTTTGAACATTATCCTTTTTCCACATATATATATATTTTTTTAAATCCATGTCATGACCCCTTTAAATTTTGTTCCAATGCTGTTTGAAATTAAAGTGAATGAGTATCATAATATAGTATCACTGCATTCATGTGGATTCTGTTTAAATTAAAAGAGATGATCTACTTGACAGAAAGTAATGCCTACCTATTCTCAAGCACTCCACGGTGGCATGAGCCCAGTTGTCCGACATGGAGGCCATGAAGGCGTAGCAGTGTCCTCTGAAAGGGATCCAGGTTTTGCGCTTCTTTGACTCAGGGCAGTTCCCCGGCATCTGAGGAGGGTCTGTGGGAGCAACGTCTGAAGGAAGGAACCAGGAATTAATAAACTATAAGCACTGCCCTACAAGTGTTTGTTTTAATGCTAAAGTTTAAAGTTTTAGCTTTAAATTTTATAAAGCGATTTTTTAAAAATTAAGCAGAACAGTGACTAAAATAACTGGAAATACTTGTGCATTAAACGGTTATAATTAGGGTTGGGAATCGAAAATCAGTTTAAATTCTGGAATCAAGTACTTGAGGTCGGGAATCGGATACTTGTTATAAAATAAACATTTTGATTCCTCTTATCGATTCCTTTGTGAGCATTTCAATATGATTTCAAACCACTCAAGTGTGAGACGACTTGCACGCTGTTTTCTGTTCTTCGGGCGTGTGTATCAGTAAATTGGATCCGTGCAGCTCTTAAAGTGACAGCACTAATATTCCTGCCATCTCTATAATAACACTAATCAAACAACTAAAGACAAAGAGAAAATTCACTCATTCTTGACTGAATAACTTTTGTAACTATATTTGTTATGTATCTTAAAACATTTTATTTTAATTGTATCATTGTTCAGTTGTATCTATTTGTTGCAATTGCTAATTTTTTTATTTGTTCTTTTTTAATTACTGAGTGTTTACTTGTCTTTAATAATGCTTGAAATTTATATTAGTTAGGCTAGTTGTTTTTCTATGGTATTTTTAAACCACAGGCGGGCTCTTCCGCTTCAGTTAAATGTTTTGCAATAAGATTAAATGTGAATGATGAAAGTTTTTTTTTTTACCTTATTTGAATCGAAATTAGGAATTGATAAGAATCGGAATCAATAAGCAGAATCAAAATCGGAATCAGAATTGTTAAAGTTCAAACGATACCCAACCCTAGTTATAATGCATACCTTCCAGCCAATCAGAATCGAGTATTCAGACAGACCATGGTATACAGTCAATTATTTGCCATTTTCTATATTTTGAGCTAACTATGCAGGAAATGGTCACACAAGCAAAACCACACCAGTTCCCAAGTAAAATTATTCAAGACAATCTAGATATTTATGGCATGCAGAATTTTGAATGAAATACCTGGGGATCGCTTGCACAGGGAATAATATGTGTTGTTGCATGTAGCCGTTTTCCAGTCGCCATCCGTATCAATATATACACACGCTAAATTGTTTTTGGGCTCTCCTGATGCCCATCTGCTGTATCTAAGAAGCCAGTTGTCCACCCAGCGGTAACGACCACTTGTCTGAAGCAAACAAATTTAATTCGTAAGACATTAAAAACTTGATTTTGTCATTTTTGTCAACATCTTTTATTGGTCCTGGAACAACATTTTCTATCAAACAAACAAATTTTTAACCCTAATCCTCAATCCTAAACATAACCTATTCCTCCAACTTTGGGTTTTCCAAAGTTTTTTCCCCTCCATTTCTGTCCCCTCACCACTATCGGATGAGAAGTGAACTCAGCTGGATGATGACAAGGACCTTTGTCAAATATCTTAGGCCTACTATTTGGGTTGTTCAAAATGACCAATTGTCATAATCAACTAGAGTCGAAGGAGGCCTGTATAATTAATAAGGCCGTGTCGGGTAGACGAATAATCTAATTTAAAAGTCACCAACTACCAAAACTAAAAGTCAGAAATCAAAATAGTAATTAGTAATCCAAAAGTAATCTTTCCAGAAATCAAAATACATTTTAATGTAACTATAATCTGATTACCAGATTGTATTGTTCTTGAACGCATTTTATATGTGGCCATTGCAATTTGGAGGTCCGTCTAAAACACACAGTTGGAGCTCTAATGTGGAAGTGACGTGAAGGTCACCTAACATTAACTTCTTGTTTATTGAACTGTTGTATAAAATCAATATATATAACATTTGCAATCGTTCTGGTTTTCGTGAAAATACTCTATATGTCCTGATATAAATATTACAAACAAAAACTTTTCTGCCCCGTTAATTCCCGTGATGGCGAGGGAAGGGGCTCTGTTATTCCAGGATATTTATGATATGATATTTATCATTTGCCAAAACCCATGTGACACACTCACGCACATGCAATGTCATATTTAGGATGACATATTGAGCTTTTTTATTTTGTTTCGTAATGCATTTTAAATGTGGTTGTGTACCAGGTTGCTGTTGAGGCCGATCCACAAAGGCTCCTTGAGTTTGCTGACTCTGAGGACGGTGTACGCCTGGCTGATGGAGTCAAGCACACTGGCCAGGTCAGCATCATCCGCTTTACACTGTCTCCTTGCTTCATCCCAGCTCATTTTCATCATCTGCACCTTATATGAATCATTTCCCAGTGTGAAAAAATGTTGTGGCATTACTGTGGTCACAGGACGGGGCAGCTGAGAGTCTATAACACCAAGGTTAAATACAGGTCACATACATTAGTTGAAATGAGCATTGACATGGTTTAGCAATTACTGATTTGTGTTGTAATGTAAGTGATAACAATATACTGCAGAGATTAGCTTGAGCTGGGACCAGTGCATTTGTGATGTAGAGAACCAAAAATTAATGGATATCTCCCTCTAACCTGTTGTCCTCTTGCAGATGAAACCTCTCTCATCTGAGCAGAGTTCGACTTTCCACGCACCCGTCATCTTTCCTGGGTTTCTAACCATGACGACACAGTCATAGTTCTGGATAGAACAGAGTTAGGATTTAAAAAAAACAACCAAACAAACATAGCCTATGAGAATTGCTACTGTAATTATACGATGTAACTCGTCCCTGCAAGATTACATTGTAGAAGATATGAGTTCACAATCACTGGGTTCATCTATTGCTGTTGTTTATACTGCTTACAGGCAGGTTTAAAGGAGTCATAAAATGCAGTTTCAGATTTTAAAATTATGTTTATAAAGTTTCCAAAGTGTTTTGCACCAATAAAAGTCCAATATTTGTAAAAAAAATAGATAAATAAAAACCTAAATAAGAATGGAATTTTTTTTTTTTTCACTCTTTGTGAAGAACATTGAATCTCAATGGGCGTGGCCTCTTGCATTTTCGTCATCGCACGTCATCGCATTTTCGTGTTCCTGAATTTTAATGGGGGTTTTTTGCCAAAAATGTCAGGTAAAGAACTAAAAAATATAATATTCGGTCAGATTTGCTTGTGTCAGATTTCCTCTGTCGGGTCATACGTAGAACAACTGTTAGACATCGAAATGTTGAGTCAAGTGATTTCTAACCGTGCGTTCACACCGCCGACGGCGAGAGCGAATCCCTGCCAACGACGCCGTAGAAAGATTTGTGGACGCTCTGACTCTGACGTAGATCGAATGCTTGGTCTTTTTTAAAAACTTTATTTAAAGGGGCCACAAAGCAAACAAGCATGCCGATCGTTATTTGTGCAGACTGACCAAGTAGGGTATCAGTTAACCTCATGGAATCTTTTAAATGTAAAAGTAAGAAATTGATAGATGGAAAGAACTTAACAATTATAGTGACATGTTTGCTAACGAAATAAACCAATTAAAAGCCATTTGTGTGGTGTGGCTTTTGCGTTCATGGTTAAGTGCTAATCTAATTTGCATTTCCGCTGAAAAACAAGCGTTCTAGCGCGAAAATCTTGCCTATAAATAATGTTGCGCGCTTATCAAATTCAAATGATCAACCTCTCCTCTATTTTGCGTGGGAACTAATGTGGTCGGAACCAAAGTTACTTGACTGCGTTCTCTGGAATCCTCTTAAGGGGAGCACTTCTACATTACGATTGGTTCGCCGGTTGCCGCCGAACCGCGTTATAGCTCATTACCATAAGGTTGACCTGACTTTAACTTCTCCTCGCCGCTCTCGATGTCCAAGACGCGCCGCCCTCGCCGCAGCTCGCCGCCGGCTCACATTGAAAATGAATGACTTCCGGGCACTTCGACGCTCTTGCCGGCGGCGGTGTGAACGCACGGTAAGAGGCGTTTTATGCAACAAAAAAAGTGCGCATCACAAGAAAAACAATAATTATTTTTGGTCAGATTTGGATAATTTTAAGAATGTTTTGTATGTCTGGCATAAACATCTCATCTCAAAAGAGAAATTCTGATGATTTTGGTCATCTTTATATATACTAGATAGCCTTTGTCAGCAATATGGTGTGAACACCTGCCTCTGAATCAAAGTAGCCATACATCCTGGAAGAGCCATCTGGGAGCGATGAAGGTTGACCCTTGGCCCAGTTTGTGTAGCTGACACCGTTGCCATCAGTCCACAAAAACCTCATCTCCCAATTGACATCATTAAAGCCAATCCATACGTCATCATCTGAAGCCAGCATTAGAGTAGTAAGGAATGCTGCAAACAGAATCAAAAGATCATATTTAAATAATTTTGTTGATCGGCTGGTTTCTTAGCAGAACTGTCCTGTTTTCTGCGTGGACAGACAAATTGCATGTTGTTGTAAACTTACCTGTTGTGCCTGGTAAGAACATTGTATTATATTAGAGTTCAAGTTTAAAGAGTTACAAATTTACATCACTTACAGTCATTTACGTTTACATGCACTTTAGAAAATGGTTTATTCTAAAGTTTTGGCAGAAATTAGTGTTCTGTATTATTACAGATTAATGGAGAGTATGAACCCAAGAGCAGTTTATTACAGATGAGAACAAATACAAAATAAACCAAATTAAAAAATCCTTAACAATAGTAGCCAATGGTACTGGGACTAAACACAGGTAAAGAAATTAAACTCAAAGAGCTAGAAAAAAAACACAGACAAACAAGACATGACCCCCGACAGAGGAGATGACCACGGTGGAGCTGGCAAAGGAAGGAACCACAGTGGGGCCTGTGCAGGTAGGGTCCACGGTGGAGTCAGAGGAATGGATGACCATAGCAGAGCCGAAGAGATGGAGATCCAGGGTTAGGATCCAGGACCAAGGTGGAGCCGGAGGAACAGAGGACTAGGGCAGGCTCAGAGGACCAAGGTTGAGCCGGAGGAACAGAGGACTAGGGCAGGCTCAGAGGACCAAGGTGGAGCCGGAGGAACAGAGGACCAGGGCAGGCTCAAAGGACCAAGGTTGAGGTGAAGGAACAGAGAACCAGGGCAGGCTCGGAGGACCAAGCTGGAGCCGGAGGAATAGAGAACCAGGGCAGGCTCGGAGGACCAAGGTGGAGCTGGAGGAACAGAGAACCAGGGCAGGCTCTGAGGACCAAGGTGGAGCCGGAGGAACAGAGGACTAGGCCAGGCTCGGAGGACCAAGGTGGAGCCGGAGGAAGAGAGGACTAGGGCAGGCTCAGAGGACCAAGCTGGAGCCAGAGTAACAGTGGACCAGAGCAGGTTCAAAGGACCAAGGTGGAGCTGAAGGAACAGAGAACCAGGGCAGGCTCGGAGGACCAAGCTGGAGCCGGAGGAAAAGAGAACCAGGGCGGATTCAGAGGACCAAGGTGGAGGCGGAGGAACAGAGAACCAGGGCTGGCTCAGAGGACCAAGGTGGAACCGGAGGAAAAGAGAACCAGGGCAGGCTCAAAGGACCAAGGTGGAGCCGGAGGAAAAGAGAACCAGGGCAGGCTCGGAGGACCAAGCTGGAGGCGGAGGAATAGAGAACCAGGGCAGATTCGGAGGACCAAGGTGGAGGCGGAGGAACAGAGAACCAGGGCAGGCTCAAAGACCAAGGTGGAGCTGAAGGAACAGAGAACCAGGGCAGGCTCGGAGGACCAAGCTGGAGCTGGAGGAATAGAGAACCAGGGCATATTCGGAGGACCAAGGTGGAGGCGGAGGAACAGAGAACCAGGGCAGGCTCAAAGGACCAAGGTGGAGCTGAATGAACAGAGAACCAGGGCAGGCTCGGAGGACCAAGCTGGAGCCGGAGGAATAGAGAACCAGGGCAGATTCGGAGGACCAAGGTGGAGGCAAAGGAACAGAGAACCAGGGCAGGCTCAAAGGACCAAGGTGGAGCTGAAGGAACAGAGAACCAGGGCAGGTTCGGAGGACCAAGGTGGAGGCGGAGGAACAGAGAACCAGGGCAGGCTCAGAGGACCAAGGTGGAGCCGGAGGAACAGAGGACCAGGGCAGGCTCAGAGGACCAAGGTGAAGCCGGAGGAATAGAGAACCAGGGCAGATTCGGAGGACCAAGGTGGAGCTGAAGGAACAGAGAACCAGGGCAGGCTCAGAGGTCCAAGGTGGAGCAGGAGGAACAGAGGACCAGGGCAGGCTCAGAGGACCAAGGTGGAGCTGGAGGAACAGAGGACCAGGGCAGGCTCGGAGGACCAAGGTGGAGCTGAAGGAATAGAGAACCAGGGCAGGCTCAGAGGACCAAGGTGGAACCGGACGAACAGAGAACCAGGGCAGGCTCGGAGGACCAAGGTGGAACCGGAGGAACAGAGAACCAGGGCAGGCTCAGAGGACCAAGGTGGAGCTGGAGGAACAGAGGACCAGGGCAGGCTCAGAGGACCAAGGTGCAGCCGGAGGAACAGAGAACCAGGGCAGGCTCAGAGGACCAAGGTGGACCAGGCTCAGTTCACAGCTGTAATAATGACTGCAGTCAATTCCCTCGGTAGCCAGAATGGTCGATACGGACTTAAAGCCTTCCCCGAAGGGCTATGTTCATAAATCAAACAATGATTTGTCCAAAAAGAATGATTAATTCTCAATGTAGAGTTTGATATACCCATGGCCTCATATAACATATACACAAATAACAATCTGTGTAAACCCATGGGTACTTAACCACACAATAAAAAAAGAAAAAGACAAGAAAAGAATTGTCCAACTACCCCCCCCCCCCCCCCCCCTCCCTCCCTCTCCCTCCCTTCCTCCCTCCCTCCCCTCCCCCAGACAAAACTACAAATGGTTCAGTCCAATTAGGGTGTATGCTAATGATACAAAAACTGTTTGATACAGATGGGCTGTTTGATGGTACAGCATCAGACTGGAAGGCCAACAGCCTAAAAAAAAGGTTTGGGGGGATTCTTACAAGAAATAAAGGTAATTCTGACTGATATTAAACTGGGTTGTGAAGTTTTTAAAAAGGAATAATTGAATTGAACAACATGTTGGAGTAAACGGACAAACAAAAATATCAGACTCATTTGAATTAGTGAAAACAATTACACAACTGATGTTTAAGATGGTAAATGTAGTGTCAGATAGATAGTGATGTGTGCATGTGTGTCAAGTCCATGTAATTCCTTATCTGTCACCAAGCTTACCTTGTAACAGGCGCTATCTCTTCTTAAGCAGATTTCTCACAATAACCAGCTTTTTTGGTGTGCATGTAAATGTGTTACAAGTGTAATGCTCACCTTGCTCTTCATGACGCCGAATGGACACCAGATTGCCTCCATGTGAAATACAGTGGTCCCGAGAATTCTGCCACGTCATCTTAGCATTAAAATACTTGTAACACTAAAATACAAGTGCTTTGAATTAGAATGTGCAGATTTCATATGGGCCTGTTAATGTAGGCCTTGTTTCACAGACAGTGAAACACTCACTCTGCCCTGAAACATGGTCCATTCTGGAGAACAGCCTCCTGGTGGCACAGTGGAGGGCAACATGGTGGTGTTGACAAAGTCCGAACTTCTCTTACAGATGGAGGGCAACGGCACACCACAGTTGATATCATTCCAGAATCCTTAAAAAAACATATTGCTAATACTTTGTGCAGGGAATAGAGGATAATGCAGCTTTATAATCACATGTCTTGGCAAATAGATGACATAATATTGTAGGTGCAGTATATAAGAACATTGATTTGATGTTATGAGCTTATGTAAAACTATACCCATTATTAACCTAAATTATACTGTCAACCACATTGCTTGTCCATCAATATACTTTGCCTATATTGTTGCTCTTTATGACATTATAGACTTGAAAAACTGAAAAAGTTTTTTTTCACATCTAACATATACCCGTTTAACAACCCTTATCAAAGGCAATCAAGTATGTTGATTAATATCAAAATCAATAATTATTATACAATCAGTGATTATTATCAATCAACCATATTTAATCTAATGTTTGGGACATGAGGTATCTCAACAACCCATTAATGTATTGAGAAAACTTGTCTGGACAAGCATGACTGAAGGCAGTGGTTCCCAACCCTGGTCCTGGAGCCCCAAAACTGCAAGTGTTTGACGTCCTGGGCTGCGTTTAACTCTGTTTTTTATGCCCTTCCCTCGCTAACTTCCCTCCATCTCGTTCACTCGGATGTACGTCATTGCTTAAGTTGCACAAGTGCCCACTACTGGCAAAACCCTTGAAATGTGTTTAAATGGACCGCAATAAGCCCTTGAACACTGAAATCTGCAATGGAGCTGAGTTAATATTTAAAAAAAAAAATCCTTATGAATTTGTTGGAGAAAACATAAAAACTTACACAACCGAAAATCATAACAATACAATAAACGATAACAGTCAGCTTATTGTAGCTACAAGTATTATGAGTTTAAATGTCAAGATAACTCCAATATGGGGGAAAATTAAGCGCAATCTGCTGTGACGTCACAATCAAGTAAGTGTTTTTGTGGTTCAGCCATTTTGCTGGTGTCTCCACCCATAGGTTTGTGCTTTTATAGATTATTGGCCTCATAAAAAAAATGCACATCAGGTAAAAACAATGAGGCTAAACATTTCAAAATACAAGCGTGTGCTAAAATTACGAGCCATTCAACGGCATTCGATCGTGCTAAGTGTGTTTTTGTGAAACGCACGTGAAATGAACACGAATATTCGTAAAGTCACGCGTAGAAAATGCTTGTAAGTGCTACTGTAAGTGCCATAGTTATCTGGAACGCAGCCCTGATGAGTTGAATCAACCTTTGAAAAACGATACTGTTATCTTCTCCGTATAAACTGCAAAAACGCACAATTCTGAAAACGGTGACGACATGCGCGTGTATTTCTTTACAAAGTGACATCGCCATCTACTGACCTGGCAGCAGAATACAGCGTTTTTAGTCGTTTTTGCGGATTCGTGTGAACAGGGATAATTTTGACAACGCTGTCGACTGTACGAGAAAAACATTTTTGATACATTGTTGTCATGTAAACATGCCCTAAATGTGCAGTGCAGGGGTTACTCCATGACCAGGGTAGTGAACCACTGCACAGTGTCATCTAGTGGTCAAAAGACATGGAAAACATGTTGTTTTCCTGCCGAGTTCAATTCCAACCACAACTAAACCCAGCTGAAACATCTAACCAAGGTCTTGTGGCTTAATAGAAGCTTCCAGGCAGGGGATTTGAAGCCGGTTGGAGTTAAACTGGCTGACATGCTACTCTATACATAGGAACAGTACTGATGAGGAGTCTTACCCATACTCTTGTAAATGGACACACAGTTCTCATCATTATTGGCAAAATTTGGTTCATTTTGATCCCATGATGTATATACAACAGGTGAACCGTCCACCCAGCTATTAATAGAAAAGAAAAGAAAGACGAAGCACAAATGTACTTAAATGAAAAAATGCCTTGCTAAAGTATCTGTTGAATAATAACTAATTTATGTATCCAGCTCTTTCAATCTCACCTAAATGATTTGTCCAACTCCACCCTCATCCCAATGAAGTATTGATTCTCTAACCTCCTGGATATCTGTAAAACAGTGTCAGTCGCCCCACTGAATGATCCTGCAGTAATGTTACAGCATTAATGGGAATCACAGTCATTACCTGCTTCCATAAAAACTTCCTCTCTGTTTGACCAGTAATGACAACCAGATCGCCGTGATTCCTCTTGCAGAACGAGCGCGCTTCTTCCATAGGCAGGAGCTCTTCGTTAATGAAGTACTGACTCTCGTTGCGCTGGATCCAGCCATCAGATGTCATGTTATATTCCACTGTGGAGTAAAAACAACACAACTTCACATTGTCTTCATCTGTGCTTGTGTGATAACTCCTCTGACATCATTTACTCAGCCGTACATCATTGCATTGACAATGTTTACAACCTGTTCCACAATTGACGCTTTATTTCATGAAATGACAGGAGATAGTGAGCAGGAGCTGTCAATTGATTGCATTAAGAATTGCAAAAAAAAGGTTTTCTGAAATGTTATATTTAAATATGCAACTGAGGCATTATCTCAGTATATCTCATATATAATTAAATATGTATAATATGTAAGTGCTGCTGAAGTGAAGAAAAAAGAGATGAATGCTAATGAATTATGATTATGAAGTAGTCAGTAACCTTGGCTTGCAGAAGTTGGTGGAGGTTTTGGAGTTGTGCCTATTGGACAAACAGTAAAAAGCATTATTGTTAAGTGTATGAGAATGTTGTACGAGACTAGTTTCATCAGAATATAAATCAAAACAGTATTTAGTTACATTAGTTTCTGACCATTAAACCATAGATGTTTAGGACACTGAGCTCATTATTCAGTCACAGTGAGTTTGCAGAACAACGGTAAATGTGTCCGATAAAACCCACAAACATGTCTGTTGGCAACTCTGAATTTTTAAAGGCGCATTTGCCATTTTTGGGCAAATTAACCCTAACCTCACATGAAGAACCAAGAAACACATCAGTACATCAGTGGCAGGTTTGCATTCGTGGGTATTAGTCTGCATTTACACTCTGAGATTTAATACACAGATCTATTTGACATACAGTATCCGATCCATGCATGTGTACCTATTGGTATCTGGCAAATCCAGTCTTTAAAGGATTCGCAATCCGCATCGTTCCACCAGCGCCGGAAGTTAAAGCCACTCTCGGCACAGTGCTCCTGGTTGTTGTAGTTGTTCGGTTCTCCATACCCCCAGTTCTCAAAATCAGACTGAAAAGAAATGCAAACACACACATTCACACAGTAGATAGTTGGTATGATAAAGTGGACAATTATTTGTTTTATCCAGAAGCTGTAAGATAAATAATACATATGAAATAATTTCAACTCGAATCAATAGATGTCTGGATGTCTATTTATTCGGTAAGTAGTCCTGTAATAAGCTAGCCTGATGCCAGCCGATCTTAGCCCCGCCCACAACATCTGAGCTTAGCCCCGCCCACAACATCTGAGCTTAGCCCCGCCCACAACATCTGAGCTTAGCCCCGCCCACACCAGCTGAGTTTAGCCCCGCCCTCAACATCTGAGGACGGGAAGTTCGGTCTGGACTTGATCCGTTGTGAAGCAAGTATGCCTGAACCAAAGCTGTTCGGACCAATCACATTGTAAGGGCGGGCTCTATACGATGATGGACAGATGATCAACCGTGACGTAATCATCACGTCACCAAAGAGCGCTTGGGTTGAATTCGTTTACAACAAAGATGGCTGCCGCTGGAGAACTGAGATGTGTAGACTCAGCCACCGCGTCTGTTATAGAAGATGTGGACAGCGCATTCATTTTAAAAGAGGAACAGAGAACCGCGATCAAGGCATTTGTCGATCCAATTGAGTGCAGAGGCATTTTCTCTCCTGGTTCTGTTGAAACGCCCCATAATCACAGCCCAGTGAAGCAGCATCAGACTCACTAATGTCTGAGACTAGAGTCTGGGTACGACGACGTCAGGCTAGTAATAAGCCGGATATTTTCAGTGTTCTGACAATATATTCTACCGTTCAGTATGTGTGACTTTGCACAGTTTTAAGCATTAATCCGACTAAACCTTGGGTTCTTTGGACCTTAGAGAAAGGTCCAGTTAATGCTTCAAGCCTTTTCTCCACCGTTTCAGTCGCATATAATATATTAGACTTTGTACATTACATTGACTTTTATGAAAACAACTGTTAGTGTTTTAGCATATTCTCAATATAATGAGAAACACTCACAGGAGTCCCATCCGTCCACACAAACCCAGAGTCACTGTTCAGCATACTGAAGCCAATCCACGCCGGGTCTGAGCTAAAATACCTGCAGAACACACATGTTTACCACCAGGCACGCTGTTCCCAACACAACCATCATGCTTTACTGACAGACAGAGAGTTACAACAGAATAAAACCCTCACGGTAACTTGCTGAGTTCTTGTATAGAGTGAAAGCTTGCCAAGTCGCCACCAATAACTTGACAGAAACTGCGAGCGTCCAACCAAGTCTTTTTCTCATCCATCGGCTTCTGGAATAGCTAAGACGGAGAAATGAAATGTGTTATTGTCACAAACAGAGATTCATTTCATATGGCATTCCATGGACAGACATTTGCAGCAATTAAAGTTATTATAGTCATAAAAAGACTGCAGATGATGCAACAAAAATGAGTTTAACAGGAACACTAATGTTCTTATTTTGTTCTCAACGATAAGCTTTTAGAAACGAGATCTCTGGAACCAGAATGAAGAAAGTGCTGTTGTTGCTCTCTTTAGCTTGACCTGAGACACACACTGACGCTGTCACAACATCTCTTTAGCTTGACCTGAGACACACACTGACGCTGTCACAACATCTCTTTAGCTTGACCTGAGACACACACACTGACGCTGTCACAACATCTCTTTAGCTTGACCTGAGACACACACACTGACGCTGTCACAACATCTCTTTAGCTTGACCTGAGACACACACTGACGCTGTCACATCATCTCTTTAGCTTGACCTGAGGCACACACTGACGCTGTCACAACATCTCTTTAGCTTGACCTGAGACACACACTGACGCTGTCACATCATCTCTTTAGCTTGACCTGAGACACACACTGACGCTGTCACATCATCTCTTTAGCTTGACCTGAGGCACACACTGACGCTGTCACAACATCTCTTTAGCTTGACCTGAGACACACACTGACGCTGTCACATCATCTCTTTAGCTTGACCTGAGACACACACTGACGCTGTCACAACATCTCTTTAGCTTGACCTGAGGCACACACTGACGCTGTCACATCATCTCTTTAGCTTGACCTGAGGCACACACTGACGCTGTCACATCATCTCTTTAGCTTGACCTGAGGCACACACTGACGCTGTCACAACATCTCTTTAGCTTGACCTGAGGCACACACTGACGCTGTCACAACATCTCTTTAGCTTGACCTGAGGCACACACTGACGCTGTCACATCATCTCTTTAGCTTGACCTGAGACACACACACTGACGCTGTCACAACATCTCTTTAGCTTGACCTGAGGCACACACTGACGCTGTCACATCATCTCTTTAGCTTGACCTGAGGCACACACTGACGCTGTCACAACATCTCTTTAGCTTGACCTGAGGCACACACTGACGCTGTCACATCATCTCTTTAGCTTGACCTGAGGCACACACTGACGCTGTCACAACATCTCTTTAGCTTGACCTGAGACACACACTGACGCTGTCACATCATCTCTTTAGCTTGACCTGAGACACACACTGACGCTGTCACATCATCTCTTTAGCTTGACCTGAGACACACACTGACGCTGTCACATCATCTCTTTAGCTTGACCTGAGGCACACACTGACGCTGTCACATCATCTCTTTAGCTTGACCTGAGGCACACACTGACGCTGTCACAACATCTCTTTAGCTTGACCTGAGACACACACTGACGCTGTCACAACATCTCTTTAGCTTGACCTGAGGCACACACTGACGCTGTCACAACATCTCTTTAGCTTGACCTGAGACACACACTGACGCTGTCACATCATCTCTTTAGCTTGACCTGAGACACACACTGACGCTGTCACATCATCTCTTTAGCTTGACCTGAGACACACACTGACGCTGTCACAACATCTCTTTAGCTTGACCTGAGACACACACTGACGCTGTCACAACATCTCTTTAGCTTGACCTGAGGCACACACTGACGCTGTCACATCATCTCTTTAGCTTGACCTGAGGCACACACTGACGCTGTCACAACATCTCTTTAGCTTGACCTGAGGCACACACTGACGCTGTCACATCATCTCTTTAGCTTGACCTGAGGCACACACTGACGCTGTCACAACATCTCTTTAGCTTGACCTGAGACACACACTGACGCTGTCACATCATCTCTTTAGCTTGACCTGAGACACACACTGACGCTGTCACATCATCTCTTTAGCTTGACCTGAGACACACACTGACGCTGTCACATCATCTCTTTAGCTTGACCTGAGGCACACACTGACGCTGTCACATCATCTCTTTAGCTTGACCTGAGGCACACACTGACGCTGTCACATCATCTCTTTAGCTTGACCTGAGGCACACACTGACGCTGTCACAACATCTCTTTAGCTTGACCTGAGACACACACTGACGCTGTCACAACATCTCTTTAGCTTGACCTGAGGCACACACTGACGCTGTCACAACATCTCTTTAGCTTGACCTGAGACACACACTGACGCTGTCACATCATCTCTTTAGCTTGACCTGAGACACACACTGACGCTGTCACATCATCTCTTTAGCTTGACCTGAGACACACACTGACGCTGTCACAACATCTCTTTAGCTTGACCTGAGACACACACTGACGCTGTCACAACATCTCTTTAGCTTGACCTGAGGCACACACTGACGCTGTCACATCATCTCTTTAGCTTGACCTGAGGCACACACTGACGCTGTCACAACATCTCTTTAGCTTGACCTGAGGCACACACTGACGCTGTCACATCATCTCTTTAGCTTGACCTGAGGCACACACTGACGCTGTCACAACATCTCTTTAGCTTGACCTGAGACACACACTGACGCTGTCACATCATCTCTTTAGCTTGACCTGAGACACACACTGACGCTGTCACATCATCTCTTTAGCTTGACCTGAGACACACACTGACGCTGTCACATCATCTCTTTAGCTTGACCTGAGGCACACACTGACGCTGTCACATCATCTCTTTAGCTTGACCTGAGGCACACACTGACGCTGTCACAACATCTCTTTAGCTTGACCTGAGACACACACTGACGCTGTCACAACATCTCTTTAGCTTGACCTGAGGCACACACTGACGCTGTCACAACATCTCTTTAGCTTGACCTGAGACACACACTGACGCTGTCACATCATCTCTTTAGCTTGACCTGAGACACACACTGACGCTGTCACATCATCTCTTTAGCTTGACCTGAGACACACACTGACGCTGTCACATCATCTCTTTAGCTTGACCTGAGACACAAACTGCTTTATCCAGAGCTACTGAATTTAAATAATTTCATATTTGATGATCTTTATACAGTTATTGAACACAACTGAATAAACACTGAACTGATTTATCCTGAATAATGTTTACTATTGTGGTTTTAGAGATGCTTTACAGCAGAAGTGAACTCTGTATCATTGATCATCACTGTACTGTTTATCACTGTAAACCTTTGAAACAATCTGTATCGTATAAAGCGCTATATAAATAAATATGTTATTTTATGTTATTTTCAAACAGAAAGTGCCATAGACTATTTGAACTGATCGTATTTTGGTGCAGTCATGATGTATTTAAAACATCTTATCATAACATGATTACGTTATTTTAACTCTTAACCCACTTGTATAACTTATTATGTATTTATTTTTTTAACTTCAGCAATAATCTGCCACGTGTCTTCTTTAAGACCAGACTGCAGTCTGTTGCTCCAAACCATTCAAGATTTACCACAGTATAAGTTAAAAAAGGGGAATAAAAGTGATGAGGAAATAAATTAAATAATGGATCTCAAAAATTTTCCATAAATATAATGTAGTACCATAAAATCCACTAAAAATACAAAATATTAAATAAAAACATCAAACTAAAATATAGTACATTAATTTCATCGAAACCAACTTAAATATTTGACCACCACGCGAGCACCAGAGGCTTAACAAAAACTTCTCACAAGAGTTGCGGTTTGGTCTTGATTTATTTATTTTTTTTTATAGAAAAATGCTTAATTTTTATGTTTTTACTACTAAGAGAAAAGTTAACTTTCACAGCGTTTCAAAACAGCAGACTACATTACTTTTTTAATATTAGATGTGGTTCCCGAGACGTTAATACAGCATTGTGTAAAGTAGTGTTTTCAGGGGTTAAGCGACATCACGGTCCTGAACGACGGCCATGGTTACATTTGAACATAACAGCACAAGTGAACTCAGGCTGGAGTTTAATAATCCATTTGCAGGACCACAACATCAGGCTAAAGTTGATTAATTGTGCACTTTTAGCATAATGATGACTCTGAGGTCAATGGTAACTGGCCTAAATCCCCACTAGAGGTCTCTGATAACGTTTTTAAAAAGCATGTTATGCTCTTTAAGGAGTGTGTTTGTTCACATTTACCTGAATGCAACTGCCTGGATCTTTCTTAATCCAGCTCGACGGACAGGTGAGCGGTTGTGTTGTCGGTGGCACTCGTGTTGTCGTAACACCTTCCGCCATCTTTTTACAGATGAACTTCTGTTTACTTTTAGAGTCCAGAACATCCCATAATCCCGCGGACGTTCCTGTCAGCATGGCAACACAACCCTGGTGCCTTTCTAGCAGACCGGAGAACAAACACGTCTCAACTCAGGCGGACTCAGACAGTGCAAGCATCATATCCACATGTCATGAGAACTGTGATTATGAACCACACACCTGGCATGCCCACATTAAAGTGTGTGAATTTGACTTTATCTCCGTTGCTCCACTGGAAGCGCTCCAGGCTTTCGGTGTTACACAAGCCAATCCAGAAATACTTCTCCGGACTGAGACCGACCAGGCTGATGAGAAAAGCGTTCTCATACCTAAGTGAAGACAAAGCATTGAAATAATGTGATGCCTGTGTAGCCTAATGAAATATCATAACCAAACATTATGAGCAGATGGGACAATCTGGGTCATATTTCACTAAATCAAAGGGGGAAATGAAGTCCATAAAGAAACCGAAGCTGGATTATAAGGAATATTAAGATCATTTGTATTGCTAGATGTTCAACATTAGTCCAGTAGTCCAGAGATAATCTTAATGTGACGAATGAACACATGGATGAGGCGAACACATTCCTTCATAACGCATTCATTTCACTATACAATCATACTGAGACGAAACCATGAGCAATTTTCTTCCTCTTTATCTCCGCTTTAATTTAGGTTTAGAGTATAGTATTTAAGGATTATGTTATGTAACAGATTTTGTGCGATATGTTTGTGCTGGAAACGAACACACCCGGAGAAGTGGGAAACCTGTCTTGCTGTGGCGCCCGGAGAGCGATTGGGTGTTAGGAGCCTTTCTCAAGGCATTTCTTCCATCAAACCTGCAACCTTCGGGATCCCAGTCTGACTCTCTACCCATGAGGCCACGAGTCGCATCTCGTCTGCATTACCTGTCGGAGACGTCCACCAGCCGAGCCCCCGACCGCTGGCACTGCAGTCTGGCCTCAGGGAAAGCCTTGCTCTCCGTGGCGATGAGATAGCAGTGAGACCCGTAGCGAACCCATCCCTGTGGACCCAGACACACACAGCCTCCTCATCACTCGCACAACACCACTAGCACAGCGAAACACTGATTCATCAGATACCAGTCTCTGGACTGCAACTGACAATTAATCAGAAATGCTGAGTTACTGACATGTGAAGTATTATACTAGGTTACACTTTGTTTTGATGGTTCACTTTAGTAATTCTACTAACTATAAGTAACTTTGCAACTACATGTCAACTTATTCTACTAACCCTAACAGTCTACTAATACTGTAATGAGAGTTAGTTGACATGTACTGTAGTTGCAAAGTTACTAATAGTTCCTAGAATGACTGAAGTGGACCATCGAAACTGCTACTCTTGTCACTAGACTGATGTTATACAAATATATACTGTATATAAATATGGTGTCGATTTGTTAATCATGTATACTCATATTCATATACACAAAGAATACTTCACATGAATAACAAATCAACACCAATCAACACAACATCAACAATCTTGTGACAATGTTGTCTATGACCAACAGAAAATGTACTGTATAAACTCAACCCCATATGTGTGTTGATGTGTTAACTGACAGAAATGAACGGTGAACGATCTATTTTTTATAATCTTTGTAAATGTTAGTTAATAAAAATATGTGTTCATTCTTTGTTCATGTTAGTTCACAGTGAGTTACCTAATGTTAATTAATGCAACTTTTGATTTAACTCTCCGTCAAAAATAACCGAACAGCACCAGAGGGTTAAAGAATGTATTAGTAAATAATGAAATGAACGAAAAATAAGATTTAGTTTATGTTTATTTAACAAATGAGATCTTATGGTAAAGCTTTACCGCAAAAGCAATAAAAGACTATATATTGTAAGACAGCAAGATTGAAGCACATTCCCAAATAATGATAGATGGATGCACATATGAATTAATTTATTATTTAAAAATATCTGTCTGATTTTCTCTATTGTTTCTGAAGTGTAAACCCGTCTGGACTCACGGCTTGGCACCCGGGACTGGCGACCTCCGCGGCTCCATCGGGTTTGCTGGTGGACTTCTTCTTGCAGACGTATCCGCGCTCCGTCTCACACACGTGATCTGCCCATCGGCCCTCCTGTTACAGAGACGGAGGAACTCAATAACATACACACATCAGTTTCACATGGACCCTCACACTCGGTCTGATCTGTTACAAAGGGTTCGGGGAAAAAACAGTAATGATAAAAAAACACCCACCTTTCCTTTGATTAGAACACAATCCTCCATGCGATTCATGACGTGTGACGGCTCTCCAACTATCCACTTGGTGAAGGTGACGTGTGTTCTGTCCGACCACTCAAACAGGTTCTGGACCCTCTGATCGTTGAGTCCAATCCACAGCTCATCAGTCGGCACTACAGAGCACACACTCACAGTGTTCAGTGAAATAAGCCGGGTCCGATTAGAATCCAGTGAGAGAACGATGTCCACCCGTTCTTCCCTCTATAAAAGCTTAGGCTGTGTTAAACTCCCCCTGTAGTCAATCATTGTATCTCTTAAAACTCATCTTTGATCACCAAAATTACATATTTAAAAAAATTTAGAAAAATTCTTCATGCCTTCAAATATCTTGAATGTAACTCGACACCCTTGCCTCATTTAGTATTTGCGGTTCTAATATGCAAATGAGCCCCGCCTCCACTCACTCACTCGCTCAGCTCAGAGATCCACTGGTTGACGATCACACGTTGATCTGATTGGTTACAAGGTCGTTTGTGACGTCAGAAACACCAGCGTTCCCTTTCAAGGGAACTTCGAGCTGCGTTTGAGACGCGGTGGGAACGCTCTGCGTGATTGCGTCATGAAGCACGTGTAAAATCAGTCCAATGGAAGCCCGATACGTCATGGGTGACGTCATAGACCAGGAAACTATAAAGCACCCTTGAAAACAGACCGCGACAGCTTCTGTTGTCTTCGGCAAGCGCTCTCTGTGATTCTGTCCTTGTCTATTTATTGTTGTTTGTCAAGCCCAATATATATATCACTATCTATCATTATGGCGAGCAAAGCAATATTATAGACGTTGTGTTGTTCCCTGCCCTCGTTACATCACGGGTGGGGACACACATCAGCTTTTTGTTGCTGTTTGGGAGTGGAGCATGCAACAGTCATTTCTCGAGGGATCTGACTGTGCATTGCGAGAAGCTGTCCGTGAGGACGCTCCGCTCCCGCCGGGCGTTCTTCGAGGAGGACGTTTCGGTTCGCGTTCCCCGAGCGGGTCTCTCTGTTGCCGAGGCTCGGAGACGGCTCGTATTTCGGGGTTCGAAAACGGATCTGACAGCGGGGGTTGGGACGGGCTCCGCCCTTTCACAGCTTTCACATGCCAGATCTAGTGTGCTGCGATTTCCAGTTCCGAGGAATTGGTATCGTTAGTGTTTTGTTTAATAAGAAAGAGAACAACACAAATACAAATCTTTTATAAAAAGGCAGATGTTTGAGTTTTCAGTGAATAAATTTTCCAGCTCATAACTCTGTTGAATAAAGAGGAGCTTTTTTAAAGAAAAAAAGGAGGTTTTATCTAGTGCTGTTGCCAGTTAAATATTTACTGGCCAGTTGAACATTATGAGATTGAAAATAAAGAAGAGTTTGTTAGATGAACTTTATCTTAAAACAGGAAAACGTCCCGGGTTACGTATGTAACCCTAGTTCCCCGAAGGGACGGACGCTGCGTGTAATCGCAGTGGGAACGCCCTCAGCGTGACGCGTCTGAAGCATGAATGAAATCAGTCAATGGAGAGAATGAGCGTACGGCGAGTGACGTCATCGACCAGGAAGCTATAAATATCCCCTGAGTACACAATACGCCAGCTTAAAAGTTACTGAAGCAGCGACCCAAGGGGATGCCGAGAGTATGGCAGGACACGCAGCGTCCGTCCCTTCGGGGAACTAGGGTTACATACGTAACCCGGGACGTTCCCCTTCAGGGACTACCGCTGCGTGTAATCGCAGTGGGAACGCAATACCCACATCCCCATACGACCAAATCCCCGTCGTGTGTCATTAGGAGACACAAGCCGACGAGAGAACCTGAGCCCCGGGAGTGGAGCTAAGATCGAGGGAATAAAATCTAATGAAAGTGTGCGGTGAGGACCAGCCTGCCGCATCACAAACGTCCTGAAGAGAAGCTCCTGAAAGAAGAGCTGTAGAAGCAGCCATACTCCGGGTGGAACGAGCCCTTACAGCCAAAGGTGAAGGCTGATGGGCCGACCCATAAGCAAGTGGGATGGCCTCGACCACCCACTTGCTCATCCTTTGCCTAGATGCAGGACACCCTTTCTTAGGTGACCCAAACAGACGAACAGTTGTTCCGATCTCCTCCACAGGGCAGCTCTGTGGACGTAAGCATCTAAAACCCAAACTGGGCACAGCAAATTAATTTTCTCCTGGTCTGACGTCAGAAAAGGCGGAGGACAGAAAACCTGCAGAACTATAGGTCTAACAGAAACAGTTGGAACCTTAGGAACATAACCTGGTCTCGGAAAGAGAAAGGCCTTAACCAACCAGGAGCAAATTCCAGGCACGAGGGAGCCACCGAAAGTGCTTGAATATCTCCAATTCTTTTTAGAGATGAGATAGCGAGAAAAAGGATAGTCTTAGAGTAAGAAACTTTTCCGAAACTTCCTCGATGGGCTCGAAAGGAGCAAGGGAGAGACCTTCTAAGATGATGGCCAGATCCCAAGCTGGTACCCTCGTGCGAACTGCAGGCCTCAGCCTCAAGGTGCCACGAAGGAAGCGAGACATAAGTGGGTGTTTCCCGAGGGAACCTCCACTTGAAGGGGCGTGGTAAGCAGCTAAGGCCGCCACATACACCTTCAGTGTGGAGTGGGATAACCCTGTGGAGAGACGGTCCTGCAGGAAATCCAGCACTGTACCAACCGGGCAGTTAACTGGGTCCTGCTGGCGCTCTCCACACCAAGAGGTGAAAAGTTTCCACCTCGCGCATATAACTTCCTCGTGGAGGGAGCTCTGGATCGGAGGATGGTCTCAACGACCTCAGCCGAGAGACCAGAATCTATGAGCTGGGCCCCCTCAGAGGCCAAGCCCACAGCCTCCATAGCTCTAGACGGGGGTGAAGGATCGACCCACTCGCCTGAGAGAGCAGATCTCTCCTGATCGGTATCTCTAGGGGAGAGCCGTCGAGGAGAGACACTAGGTCCGCAAACCATACCCGGGCCGACCAGAACGGGGCTATTAGCAGGAGACTGAGCCCGTCCCGGCGAACCCTCTCCAGAACTCCTGGGAGCAGAGCGATCGGGGAAAAAGCGTACAAGCGTGACCTCGGCCACGGATGTACCATCGCATCCAACCCCAGCGAGGCTGGATGGCTGCGAGAGAACCACAGCGGGCAGTGTGATGTTTCTCGAGAAGCAAATAGGTCTACCTCGGCAAGACCGAAATGTTTCCATAGGAGTTCCACCACCTCGGGGTGAAGACTCCATTCCCCGGGCCTCGGCCCCTGTCTTGACAGGATGTCTGCCCCCTGATTAAAATACCCCGGGAGATAAATAGCTCTCAGAGAAAGAATTTTCCCCTGGGACCATAGAAGGATCTGACGTGCCAGTTTGTAAAGCGGGCGAGAACGCAAACCCCCCTGATAGTTGATATAAGAAACCACCGATGTGTTGTCTGTCCGGACAAGAACATGGTGGCCCCTTAGGTCTGGGAGGAAGTGTTTCAGAGCCTGAAGCCTGAAACACCGCCAACATCTCTAGGCAGTTTATGTGCCACAGACGATGATGGTCCTCCCACAGACCCTGAGCCGGGCGACCATCCATGATCGCCCCCCCAACCCGTGAGAGAAGCATCTGTCGTTAGCATAACGCGACGACAAGGAGCTCCTAACACAGGGCCTTGGGACAGAAACCAAGGATCTTTCCACATGATCAGGGCGTGATGACACCGTCGCGAACTCACGATCATGCGAAGCGGATTTCCCCTCGGGGAGAATCCCTTGGTCCTGAGCCACCACTGTAACAGTCTCATGTGCAAGAGGCCAAGAGGTATCACGTTGGACGCAGCTGCCATGAAACCTAACAGTCTCTGGAACTGTTTTACAGTGGATGACTGGCCTAGCTTGACCTGATCTACTGCAGCGAGAATCAAAGCAATACGAGCAGGTGACAATAGTGCCTGCATCGTCGTTGAATCCCACCCTACACCTAGAAAAGTGGTTCTCTGTAATGGAGAAAGAACACTCTTTTTGGCGTTGAGCCTCAGCCCCAGTCACTTGATATGAGCAAGAACGACATCTCGGTGCCGAACCGCCTGTTGTTCCGATTGAGCTAGAATCAAGCAATCGTCTAAATAGTACAGAAAGCGGATGCCCTGTAACCTCAGCGGGGCTATAGCAGCATCCATACACTTCGTGAATGTTCGGGGTGACAGTGCTAGGCCGAACGGAAGAACCCGATATTGGTACGCTTCGCCCCCGAAAGCGAACCTCAGGAACTTCCTGTATTGAGGGAGGATAGATACATGGAAGTAAACGTCCTTTAGATCTATCATGACAAACCAGTCCTCGGATCTGATTTGAACATCCCCTGTGACAGACACAGCGCCCTGTAACGTACTGGCAGGGAACAGCTGGCCTGGGCACTCCACAACCCTCCTCGGAGGGGGCGAGCGTCCCTCGGGAAATCGCTCGCAGAGTCTCTCTACGCCCTGTATAGGCAGGGTTAGTAGAACAGACCCCTGAGGGCATCGAGAAAGACAGGGCACCGTGTTTTTGTGCGGTGAACTCAGGTCTTTCACGATAGGGACCACCCTCAGAGTCCTGACGTTTAGCACGTCAGGATTTTTCTTTTTCCCGATGAAGTAGTATCCTAACTCCCTGCTGGGTGGGGGACCCATTCCGCCAGGAGCTCTACTAAGGGAACCAGCCTCTCGAGGCTGGCCTCTGGATGAACATCCCGAGTGACAGACACAGCGCCCTGTAACATACTGGCAGGAAACAGCTGGTCTGAACACTCCACAACCCTCCTTGGAGGGGGCGAGCGTCCCTCGGGAAATCGCTCGCCGAGTCTCTCTACGCCCTGTATAGGCAGGGTTAGTAGAACAGACCCCTGAGGGCATCGAGAAAGACAGGGCACCGTGTTTTTGTGCGGTGAACTCAAGTTTTTCCCGATGGGGACCACCCTCAGAGTCCTGACGTTCAGCCCGTCAGGACTTTTTCGACGCGGCCTTTCTGGCGACAATGACTGTCCTCAGATCAGTCCTGCCCCGAGAAGGCCGCGCCGGAGAGCGCCCGCCTCGTCCCTCCAGTTTCTCTGCAGGAGGGCACGAGACTTGACACTCCGCTTCTGCTGTGCTCTTTTGGAAGACGAACTCGACGAAAAACTTTGCTCTGGTTGAACAT